TGACAGATATGGGAATGGTTTCCAATCGGTCTCTACTCTTTGTTTACAGGCAATAATATTAGTTGTAATATAATTGAATTTATTAGATAAATCGTTTTTACTTATTGATTTTTTCACTAATTTTTCTTTTATTTCCTTCCTGTTGTTTATCACATTTCGCTCACATTGTTCGTAACTTGCTGGTTTACGTTGCCTAATCGATAACACAGCTTCCCCCGACAAACAAATTACCGAATATAAAGGATTCAAGTTCGAAAGTAGCCGGTGGCAAATTATTAAATTGCGTTCTTTACTATCTCGGAAAGATCAAAGAATGACGGTGTCAGATTGATTAATTTTTTATGGTTTATCAACCGGAAACATATTTTTGGTATAAAATAATTCATTTACTTGCGATTGAATATTTCTTTAATAGTATTTGGAGATAATAATGCAATGCAGTTTATAGATACACGGCCTACCATTTAACCCATAGCTGGCGGTGACGGGATCGATTTATACATTTCCCAAGGATATTTACGTGTAAGTGAATGTAGCGAACCTCAATTGGAATTTGAACTGGGAGAGTCGAGTTCGAATTCCGAATTGATTACATCACCCGTATATACACAACGGTGTAGGGTTTACTATAAAAATAAAAGAAATAAAATAAAGAAACATTTGTCCAAAATAATATTTGACGAGTTGGGCTTGTAGAAAGTCTACTTTTGTTCCCCAATTTTTGTTCCTATCTCTTCTCTTCTTAGATTGTTTCTTATTTTTCTCTTTTATTCTTTTCAACCGCCATTGCTCATTCCAGTGTTTAATTAAATGCTGTAAAATAATGATCGTTTGTATATGAAAACAGAATAATAATGGACACGTATTTCATATTGCACACTTTCTTTTGTCTATCTCTTGCACTCTCTCACCATTAGGAATTTCAATGCAGTTCATTTTTATGCCTTTTCATCCGGATCTACTTTTAAATATTTCACTCATTTTCTTTTGTTATCTGTTTTCTTTTCGACCCCAGGGCTTCCCTTATCTGTTTCTTTTACTTATTTGAGAGATAATACATTTTATTGTTTTCATCTATATTTGTGATCGTTACAAATGGGTCCTTCTATATCTAAAAAAACAAACAAAGACATATCTTTGTAATCTGAGTATAACAATAACAAAAGTAGGGATGATATGCGAAAATTACGAGAATTTTATACATTTTTTCGGGTTAGCAGAAATTCTGTCAAAAAGTGCTCAATAGATAAATATAGCTATAATATTGAATAAATTAAGAAAAAGTCAAATCACTTATCTGGTTGTATGAAAGATATAATTGCAATAAAGAAACAAAATAATGTAAACGTATTGAATGATGGCAACACCATATTGGAAATTACGAAAATGTTGACAAAGAAATCACAGAAAAGTCGGAAAAGAATTTGAAAACATGAACACGAAAAAATAGGCTTTAATAATATCACAAAAATATTTAAGCCAACTTAAAAGAGATTTACAAGGTAGAATATTTTTGAAGAAGCTGGTGTTGTGAATGTAAGAAAAGAGGACCTTAGCGAAAGACATGAAAGCACCCAGAACGACCCCATTTAAGTAGAGGACAAAAATAGAAACGCAAAAGTTGGGCATATGAAGAATGATTTTGCATTTATAAATTTTAGTGATGAATGTAGAGCTACATTGGATAGACATGATGATGTCTTATTAAAATTATTTTCCGTGTTGACAAGCGAGTAACATTCCATCATCCCAGACCAGAGTCTGTGTTGTCTCCAGTCATGATGACGTTTCTTTCATCAACCTCTATTGAAATTAAACTCATTTGGGACCAGAAGCGGAATTCGTATATATGACCCACCGCTGAAGATGCTGCTCCTGCCACACTTTATCTTTACAAGAACAAGATCAGATACTTTTCAAAAGCATTTGCGCATCCTTGTGGGTGATGAACTCTCTTTCACCCTTTCCCACAGATGGAACCTTGCTAGTCTCACACTTCTACATCGCTATCTTTCATGGCAGATGTTCAGGCGAATTCTATTCCTTGCCTCCACCAGTTCAGACTTTTACAGCTCAGAGCTAATAGAGCAATTATAATGAATCGACTCAGTCTCATTCTCTTTATATTCCATGAGTAAAGAGTAAGTTTCACTCGGGCAGACTTTTCGCCACGACTGTTGCCTTGTGGGACAGACTATCAATAAAACGCTTCCTCATCAGTACAATCTTAATCTTTTCAAGTCTAGGGACGACCGTTATCTATCGTATATATCCTCCTAAACTGCACTTTACTAATTCTTTTTACGTTCATACAACAATCTCATTTAATAACATTCTACTTTGAGTGGCTCTTGGGCATTGTATTGTTTGAACGTTAGTAAACAAAATCTTGAAAACTTTTCTATTGTTGTCATATGCTGGGAAATTTTCAATAAAAGTAGTTTCACGAATTGTTGGTATCGGATTTGAAACCGAAGCACTTAATCCAGTGTCAGACATTTTACTTCAAGGCTTTCACAACTCGAATGTAATCGAAATAAATAAATACTTCCCTCCCATATGTATCTTTCTGATGAGTCCAGGTTCCGGTTGCAAATCTCTATATAACTTTTTCAGTTTCCCCTGACAGTTTTCAGATCAATTTCAGTCTCTCTGCTTCAAAAAAAAATCTTTATTGGTTTTGTCTACAAAAGCCAATCAAGATTTTATAGAAGCGGAGGTAAAAAGAAACGAATTCTCTGTTGGACATTTCCTGCTGGGTTAACAAGTCAAATTGCTTTTTTGTAAGCGACAAAAACTGCGGCAGAATTATTATTTTTTGTTCGGCGTCGAGTGTTCTTCCCGGCTTGGCTCCGATTTACAGAGTGTTTTTTTGTTTCTTTTACCATTTACATCTTTTAGCATTTACATCTTTTACCATTTACATCTTTTACCATTTATATCTGGTATACTTTATGCTTTACGCTGTTATCTATTTCAGAGGACGTAAAATCCCGGCTACATTTTCTTTAGGTTTAGGATACTCAAAGTCCACCAAAGAGTTGCATATTCTTTACTTTTAAGTTCTAAATAGGGTAGTTTAGAATAAAAGTTGGGGGGATGAAAATAAAAGTGTAGTTCGGAAAATTCAAACAAAATTAATTTACATTCGGAACAAAAACGATAGAGATGTTTAACACTTCGACGTGGTGTGATGTTCAGCCCACTTGTCTCGCGAGATCAGTTACGATTGAGAAGTGAGTTAGGTCCACTCTGGGTGCTCCATACTCTCCTTCTTGTCCCAAGTCTAAGCTAAGCATAGTAAATCCCTCCTTCAAAAAAATAGAAGAGGATGCTGTAACAAATGGGAAGGTTGGAAAAAGTGGAAAATGAAATAAAAGAGGAGTCTGGAATAACATTTGTAGGTTTGGAAAAAAATTAAAATTGAAATTATTGGCCAGGTCCCTCTATTTTTGATGCGAGAATTATATTTTTTGGCCTGCTCGATGATTGAGGTAATTTTATACTTCTTACAAAAGATACAGTCCAGTGTTCGAAAAAAAAAAAAAACAGGTTTGTGTCCACCACTTGAAAAATTGGCGCAACATTATCTTCCTTCTCAAACAGAAAAGAAACACTATGAAAATATGAAAATACATTTTTATAGTAAAAATACCAGCAATTCATTATATATATATATATATATATATATATATATATATAATTACCAAGGACACATATAGTAAAATTACCTAAAATAGATTTAACCGGCAGCTGAAGCCATAAAATTGTTAAACATATTTAGATTTCGACATTAAATAACCCATAAAGGTGTTGATACGCCGCTAAACAAAATAGTTCAATCAATTAGTTTTCAGCAAAAGAGTCTAAGCTACGTATTGCGAGTATCAGAAACAAGCATTATCTGAGTAGAAGTCCAAAATAATGAAAAGTGACGAAACTAAGCAAAGTATTAAAATAGGAAAATGTCTTTAGTAACAATGAAAAATAATAGCTAATCTCTTATGTAGCAGTGAATGCTGGATAACCAATCTCCTTACGGATGAAGAAAATTGTAGAATTTACAGAGATTTAGTTCTACTAATACGTACTAAGAATACTACAGACAAATCATGTGTGCCACGAGGCGTTTTAGGCAGACTAAGGTTGCAAGCAAACTGATAAATGCGAAATTATTCTTCATGTGCCCAACCTTTATGCTTCTATTTTTGACGTCTACTTAAATGTTGTCGTTTTGGGTGCTTTCATATTCTTCGCTAATGTCCTCTTTTCTTACATTCACAACACCAGCTTCTTCAAAAATGTTCTTCCTTGTAAATCTCTTCTCTTTTAAGTTGGCTTAAATATTTTTTGTGATATCATTAAAGCCATTTTTTCATGTTCACGTTGTCAAATTCTTTTTCGATTTTTTAGATCTCTTTGTCAACTTCTTTTGAAATTTCCAATTATGGTGTTGCCATCATTCAATACGTTTACATAATATTGTTTATTTATTGCAATTATATTTTTCATACAACTGATGCAACGCTTCATATGAAATTTAAAAATAAACATCGATACTATACGAAAAACATTAATTTTCTGTGACACATGAGGAAAGAAGGTCTGGAGAATTTAAAACTCACGTGATATACTGAAGGCAAGAAAAGCACAAGAAACAGCAAGTAGACAACGAGTTAGTTGTCAGAACAAGAAGAAAAAGGGAACGTATAGCGTTACTTCGAGCAATAAAAGGAAGTTGTGGGGAGCCGTAGCTGCTCATGTTCTGGAAGGACAATAAAAGAAGAATCTATGTGGGAATCAAGTGGGGTTTTATTTATTTGATTTGATTGTAATTATTGGAAAATATTGAAGAATTAATTTGATGTTTTTTCCAACAATTGATGAAGAACAATCGGCAGATTTCTTTGTCCCAGAAATGAATTTCAGAAATAAAAAAAAAACAAAGTCTGTCATTAATTAAACGGCGCAGTTGCAAGTAACTTGATATCATCGGAAGAATGAAAAAAGACAGCGCAGAATTTTGGTCAAATATGGAGAATATCGAAGAAAAACAGGAAAGGAAGAGCGTACCATATACTTTTTGTTTGAATCAGAGCAGCAGCGCCGAAGATGAATGATTCTCCCATTGATTGAGATACAGATCAAAGGAAAAGACGGAGAGTAGTCTAGAAAACAAACTGTCACCTTATGTTTCTGCTGTCAGAATAGTTTGACAAATTAATTAATTTGTCAGATCACTGTAGCTTTGTTCATTTTTACAGCTTCTTCATGTTGGAGGAAGCATTTAACACGTGACACACCAAGTGAAATGGTAAGCGACGTTTAAAAACTCACATTTTACATTACTGATTCGTAAATTGTTTGCGAATAGAGAAAATGAAAACTGCTTTTAAAAACAACTGCTTTTTAAGCAAAGTTCTGCCCATTTTATTAACCTGGCATAAATCAGTTTAGAACATAATACTGCCTAGTTCGCAGCATCGTCTGAATAACAGCGGCTACGTGACATGTTATAAAGTATACGACGTCAAGTAGTTACGTGATATGTAACTGAATTGTACTTATTGGGTGTGACTGCAGGAGTTTCACTGAGTTCTGCAACATGTTCTAAGCCTACTTATACTATTTGCATTGTTCGGGCTTTTGGCCTCAAATTTGTTGTCATATTTACGATGTTTCGACCGTTGTACGCTCCGGCTTTCTTCAGGTGTTTAGAATTTTGAATTGAACCGTTTTAATTATTCTAATTGCACGTGGCATACCTCTTTAGGATATCTCAGTTTTAGTTATTTCCCTTTAGTAACTCAACTCTCTAAGTTTCTGTTCACCTCATAGATGACCTAAACCTGATCAAGTGAAAGGTGACAATAGAATATCTGGAAGTAAGCCGAGTCTTCCTTAAACCATTTCCTTGTCACCAATGCACAATGAAGACGGGTGTTTTTTCTTTTTTTTTACGAAAACGCTCTATGTAGAGTCAGTCGATTTTCACGGGATTTTCTTGAGAACAACATCCACATCTTAATAGAATCGCCCATAGCTTTCACAACACGCAGCTGAAAGGTTGTATCAAGAGCCGCCTGTACTCTCCTCTGCAAACAAATTCAACCTATACCCTCCAAAATAGTTACAAACGTAATTAGTTGTACCAGATGAGACGACTCCACACTTCCACGGCCCAATAGCGATATTGATGCATAGTAACTCTTCCTACTCCTAATCATCTTAGTGTTCACCGTCTTTCTTCTCCTACCCATCTTTGTGACAACCGTCTTCGTTCTCCCACCCATCTTAGTGACACTCATATTCCTTGTTCTACCCATCTTAGTGATAACCGCCTTCCTTTTTCTACCCTTCCTAGTGACAACCGTCTTCCTTCTCCCAACCATTTTAGTGACAAATGTCTTCCTTTTCCTACTCATCTTAGTGACAACCGTCTTCCTTCACCTAATCATCTTAGTGATTAGCGTCTTCATTCTCCCAACCATCTTAGTGACAAACTTCTTCCTTTTCCTACCCATCTCAGTGACAACCCTCTTCTTTCTCTTACCCATCTTAGTGAAACTCATATTCCTTCTCCTACACATCATAGTGATTACCGTCTTCATTCTCCTTTCCATCTTTGTGACAAGCGTCTTTCTTCTCCTACACATCTTAGTGACACTCATATTCCTTCTTCTACCCATGTTAGTGATAACCGTCTTCCTTTTCCTACCCATTTAGTGACAAACGTCTTCCTTCTCTTAATCATCTTAGTGATTACCGTCTTCCTTCTCTTAATCATCTTAGTGATTACCGTCTTCCTTCTTTTAATCATCTTAGTGATTACCGTCTTCATTCTCTTACACATCTTAGTGATTCCCGTCTTCATTGTCCTACACATCTTAGTGACAACTGTCTTCCTTCTTTTAACCATCTTAGTGACAACAGTCTTCCTTCTCCCACCCGTCTTAGTGATACTCATATTTCTTCTTCGACCCATCTTAGCGATTACCGTCTTTATTCTTCTACCCAACTTAGTGATTACCGTCTTCCTTCTCCCACCCATCTTAGTGATACTCATATTACTTCTTCTACCATCTTCTGATAATGGACTGATCTCTCTACGATATAGATCAGTGCTAGAGAGATCAGGAGAGAGAGAGAGAGAGAGAGAGAGAGAGAGAGAGAGAGAGAGAGAGAGAGAGAGAGATCTGGAGACCATTGCACTTCCGTCTCTCGACCGGAAGATACCGTTGGACTGTAGACTCTTGCTGATTGTTATTACTAACCTGCGTTCGTTATTACTAATCACTCTGTTGTTAAATACCTCTTCAAATATACCAGTATTTTTCTTTACATCTGTGTTTGTCTTTATTTGAATACACACACGCGGGAACACTCCCAATATCTCAACAGTGGCGACGAGGCTTCGAACGGATAAAAAGAACTTACGTTGAAAAATAAATATCGGAACAGCGAAAGAAACGATTTCAACACGGGAAAATTTAAAAGAGCTCAAGCATTTTTTCACAGCAAAGGATTGAAAAGTTTATCGACAAAAAGAAAAAACTGTAACTTAGACATTAATTTATTGATTAAATTGGAATCTATAATAATCAATTTTTTATGCTAAAAAAAAAAAAATTTTGTCCTGCCAGAGAATTTGATTAATTTTTTGGCCCCCACCTCAGAGAGAAAAAAAAAAAACACACATAATTTTGCTTTCTTTTTTCTCTACACATACATAATCATGGAGCAATTTCAATCATCTATGCTGGAACTCATTAAGTATCAGATGCAAAGACAACAAGAGAGTGAAGAACGTTTTCAGGAAAAACTATTGAATTTTCAGAAAGAACAAAAGGAAGAAAATACAAAACGATTTCTGGAGCTACACGAGAAACAAAATAAAATACAAGAAGAAAATGAAAAGAAACAGTTAGCAATGACTGAATAAAACTATACTGTCTAAGCAGAAAGACTCGGATGAAAGTACCTTTTTCTCAAGACACAATATGGTCGACGATCGAAAGTTTTACCTATAAACCCAGAAGAGGAAAAGACTTTCGAAAGATATTATCATAGATATCAGGACTTTTATGAAGTCGATTGCCAAACATGGACAGACGAGAAAAAGATAAGATTGTTACTACGGAAACTGGGAACGGCAGAACATAATAAATTTACGGACTTTAAAGACAAGAGATTTAAAATTCGACGAAGCGATTGAATTACTAAAAGAGCTTTTCAACCCCAGATTATCATTATTTCACAAAAGGTGGAAATGTCTTAATATTCAAAAAAGCGAACAGGAAGACTACACGACTTTCGCGTCAATCGTAAATAAGACGTGTGACGATTTTCGCTTGTCCGAATTATCGGCGGACAATTTCAAGTGTCTAATATTCGTGCTAGGCTTAGTGTCTAAAAAAGACAGTGAAATGCGAAGACGCATTTTAGCAAAGCTAGAAAATGACCAAAACATTACACTACAAAAGCTAGCCGAGTACTGTCAGCAATGCATAAGCATTAAGCAAGATTCAGAGAAAATAGAAGAAACTGCTATCGCAAATGTGAAGAAAGTAAATAGGAAGACTCGTTTCCGTTCTCCATCGCCTGAACGGAAGTGGTATCCTACTACAAGAATGAACAGAGACTATAGAAAAAAAAACTCCCTCCGAGTGCATGTTATGGATGCGGCTAGTGGCACTGGTACAATGACTGTCCATATAAAAATAAAGCTTGCCGAAATTTCAAGAAAGTAGGACATAAGATGTCCAAGTGTAGAAAATTAAACAGAAGTCGAGTGAAAGTTACTAAGTCAGGCGAAGATCAAGACCTGAATATTCGAAAATACCTACATGTAAAAATGTATAACAAAAAGGTTAAAATGCAACTGGATTCAGGATCTAACATTTCGATTATTAACTCAAAAACATGGAAAAATCTAGGAAAGCCAACTCTGCTAAAGTTCAACAAAATAGCCAGGATAGTAACTGGAAAAAGATCAATTTTGAAGGTGAAATATGGGTGAATATAACCTTCAACAACAAGACTATAAAAATGAACATTTTTGTTATGAAAAACACGAACATCGTATTTGGGACTGACGCAATCACTAAGTTTAATCTATGGGACGTGCCCATTAGTTCTTTTTGTAACAACATTAGTGAAAGCAAAGACAATATAAACAATTTAAAAACAGAATTGAAAATAGCATTCCCCGAAGTTTTCGCTGAAGGACTTGGACGTTGCACGGAAGCATCAGCAAAAATACAGCTGAAGAAAAATATTCAACCAATTTTTAAAAAAAAGCGTAGCATCCCTTTTGCCGCATTAGAAAAAATTGACCAAGAACTCGAAAGACTAACGAGAATTGGTGTGATCTCGAAAACGGAATACAGTGACTGGGCAGCTCCGGCTGTCTACGTAAAGATGAAGTCGGGCGAAATTCGCGTCTGCGCCGATTTTTCAACCGGGTTAAACGACGCAATAGAAGAGTATCACTATCCACTACCAAGTCCCGAAGAAGTGTTCGCAAAGTTAAATGGGGGGAAAAATCTTTTCGAAAATAGATCTTAGCGAGGCATACTTGCAAGTACCCATGGATAACGAAAGCGCAAAGTTGCTATGCATTAACACGCATAAAGGCTTGTTCAGATACGAACGTTTACCATTCAGGGTGAAGACAGCACCCGCAATATTCTAGAAAATTATGGATACTATGTTATCCGGGTTAGACTACACGATAGCATATCTCGACGATATACTCGTGAAAAGTGAATCGGTGGATGAACACAAACACCATTTACGCAAAGTTTTCGAAAGGATAAGAAGCTATGGGCTTAGAGTGAAAGAAAATGCGATTTTCTCCTGGAGGAGATCAAGTATCTGGGACATATAGTGAATAAAGAAGAAAAAAAGCCAGATAAAAATCGAGCATCAGCAATAAAAGATATGCCTGAGCCAAAGGATATTAAATCCCTACAAAGTTTTTTAGGCTTGGTGTCATATTACCAGGATTTTATCCCAGACCTCCACATTCTACGAGCTCCCCTTAACGATCTACTAAAAAAAAGAAAAACTTTGGATTTGGACAAAAGAATGCGAGTAAGCATTTAAGGACATAAAAGAAAAATTGACATCAGATTTATTTCTGGTACATTTTGATCCAAAGGTAGATATCATCGTGGCGAGCGATGCCAGTACACACGGCGTAGGTGCGTGCATATTGCACAAGTGGAAGGATGGTAAAATTCGACCAATCGCTCATGCAAGCAGATCGCTACTACCCGCTGAACGAAACTATTCACAAATTGAAAAAGAGGCATTGGCGATTATCTTCGCTGTAACAAAGTTCCATAGATACATACATGGACGGTATTTTACGCTACAGACAGACCACAAGCCTCTGGTAACGATATTCGGTTCAAAAAAGGGTCTGCCAACATACATCGCAAATATATTGCTTAGGTGGGGAACAATTTTGCTAAATTATAACTTTAGAATACAATATTTGTCCATCCACAAAATTGGTCACGCAGACGGTCTATCAAGACTCATTCCGAAAGCATCAGAACCATTAGAGGATATGGTAATCGCATCCCTCAGAGCAGAGGACGAGGTTGAAGAAAATTCGCAATTCGAGAATTACCAGTATCGCTTAAGGACATCAAAAAAGAGGCAGAAAAGGACAAATATATAATGGAAATAAAAGATAAGCTAGCTAAAAAAGACGAAAAAATTCAAGAGACATTCTCTCTGTGTGATAATGTGCTAATATACAGTGAAAGGGTAGTAATCCCTAGTACACTCCAAAAAAGAATATTAAAAGATTTTCATGCTGGTCACCCGGGCATAAATAGAATGAAGAGCCTCATGAGAGCATACGTCTACTGGCCAGGTATGGACAACGACATCGTGTCTATGGTCGGCAGATGTAAAGGCTGCATATTGGCATCAAAATCCCCACAAATTCTACAGAAGCCATGGCCAAAAACCGACAGGCCATGGTCAAGGATTCATATTGATTTTGCGGGTCCAATTGACGGGTGGCATTATTTGGTCGTAGTTGACAGCTTTAGTAAATGGCCCGAAGTTTTCCAAATGAAGAGGCCAACATCTCAAAATACAATAAATAAATTGCATGAATTATTTGCAAGGTTTGGAGTGGTAGATACTGTGGTTAGCGACAACGGTACTCAGTTCACGAGCAAAGAATTCGCAGAATTCTGCCAGAATTTTCAAGTGGATCACGTGAGGATTCCTCCATATCACCCACGCAGCAACGGACTAGCCGAAAGGTTTGTCGATACGCTGAAAAGGGCTCTTAGAAAAGCAACGGTTACCCCGACTAGAAAGGCGTTACAGCTATTCCTGTAAGTATACCGCATTACTCCGAATAAATCTGCCCCATCAAGCCTATCACCTGCGGAGCTAATGTTTGCAAGGAAGATCAGATCCGCATTTGATAAGTTGATACCTGAAAATAAGGTACACACACCAGTCGCTATGGTTCCTAAGCGAAAATTACACATAAATGAAAAAGTTTTTTTCAAGAATTATAAAATTAATGCGACATCGTGGGAACCAGGAGTCATACAAAAGCGGATTAGGAATATGGTGTACATTGTACAAGGGAAAAAATGTACCCATAAAAGGCACATTAACCAGCTAAAGAAAAGGAGTACTGAGGAATCGGAAGAAACTCATTCTCCTACCCATCTTAGTGACAAACATCTTCATTTACCTATCTATCTTAGTTTCAACCAGCTTCCTTCTACTCATCTTACTGACAACCGTCTTTATTCTCCACTCCCATCTTAGCGTCAACAGTCTTCGTTCACCTACTTATCTTAGCGACAATCAGCTTCCTTCTCCTACCCCTTAGCCACGACCGTCTTCCTTCTCCTAACCTTCTTAGTGACGACCGTCTTCCTTCTCCTACCCCTTAGCCACGACCGTCTTCCTTCTTCTAACCTTCTTAGTGACGACCGTCTTCCTTCTTCTAACCTTCTTAGTGATGACCGTCTTCCTTCTCCTACCCCTTAGCCACGACCGTCTTCTTTCTCCTAACCTTCTTAGTGACGACCGTCTTCCTTCTCCTACCCCTTAGCCACGACCGTCTTCCTTTTTCTAACCTTCTTAGTGACGACCGTCTTCCTTGTCCTACCCCTTAGCCACGACCGTCTTCCTTCTCCTAACCTTCTTAGTGACGACAGTCTTCCTTCTCCTACCCCTTAGCCACGACCGTCTTCCTTCTCCTAACCTTCTTAGTGACGACCGTCTTCCTTCTCCTACCCCTTAGCCACGACCGTCTTCCTTCTCCTAACCTTCTTAGTGACGACCGTCTTCCTTCTCCTACCTATCTTAGCGACAACCGTCTTCCTTCACCTCCCCAAACTAAACTACTGAAACCTGGTCACGGCTGTTGAGACCCGTTTCTTTATCTCTCCTAAAAACATTATAACAAAGTTGTGTGTATTTGAAAGTAGGCGAAATGATTTCTTTAACAATAGACATAGTTATATCCAATGAATTTCTTAAGCCTGTAAATTCACCTGCTTACCGATGCTCTGATAACAATTCCTGGAAATGCTCTCTCACTTAGTTATGTTATTTTTTGGTGAATACATTACATTGTTTATTCGTTTGTATTGCAAGAATTTATCCGAGGTCAGTTAGGAAACAATCTATCCATGTTGAATATCGTGTGGAATGGTATCGCAGCCTTTGTTGTATCTTTGTCACCAACTCGTGTCGAACCTTCTGGTATGCTTGAATAGAAACACTCCCGTGGTGTTAAGCAGTCGAAATTGCGATACCACTGAGTAATCTTGATTACTGTGTGCCTGGCTAATGTTTTTGGCAGCAAATCGTATTACGAAGTTTTTCAACCCGTGTATATCCAGGAATTGACCTTCAAGGCATTTTTCCCAAAACTGAAGTCCCGATCCGTTGAAATTTGGTATCTTTCAGACTATAGACGGAATCAGGAAGAACTTGATGACGATCCCAAAAGAGGAATTTGTAGAATATTTTCAAAAATGGCAGGGTCGTTGGGATAAACATGTGAGGTTTCAAGAGGAGTCTTTTGAAAGGCAGCATTGCGTTTGGTGTTTAGCAATTTTTCGTTAAAATTGGGGTATTTTCCAAACAGATCTCTTGTATATTTCCTCTTTGTGGACGCAGTTCTTGTCTTGTGTACGCATGGTATCCTCCTCATCGCCATCTTCATCGTTATGGCCGGGTTTGGTCTTAGCCTAGCTGCGCAGCTGTGCATCTGAGTACCTGACCAATTTCCCTCCCGGTATCCGGATTGAAAACCCAGGGGGTATTCATTCATCTATAGCGCATCTTGGGCAAGTAGACCACAGCCGATATCCTCCAACATCTTGTTGATTGCATCTGGAGAACCCACCGCTCTTTTTGTTATTTTCTGTTTAGGAAACCCAGTGATGCTGGTTCATTTTGTCTGTTGAATATTCAGTTTTGCTTTTGTGCGTATTTATATTTTCTTTGGGAAGTATTTATTTGCTTTTATCGTGCCTGTAAGTATTGTCTCTTCTTTGTACATAATTATTACATTATTTTGTATTTGTTCTCGAATCAAGATTACTTGTTAGCAATCCTATTGATAATCGATGGAATTAATGGAGTAAAAGCGTTCGTTAAAACTTCAATATATCGTCCTTTAACTAGGGATAGAAAAAAGGGTTGGAACATTTGACACTCACAGGATATATTGAAGGCAAGATAAACAGAAGAAAGCATCACATAACCCCTACTTAACGACCTTTTGCAAATGGATGACTGAACAAGGTTTCGGACAGATAACAAAAAGTCAACGTCACATAACACATAGAAGAAGTCTCCTTGATAGTAAAAAAGTACGGTAGAATAAATAAAAGGAAATACAGTAGGATTAAGGATAAAACTTTATAGTCTTTTTACACTAAAATTCACCCAACACAAGTGTTGTAGATTAGCTAGCCCCCACCCCTCCTTCAGCACTTGATACTGATCTGATTAATATTCGGACTGATGTTACTTCGTTTGGCTATACAGCATTTAACCCTCTTCTATTCCTTGTAAGTTGTCTTGTTAATTGTTTTGTAACTTATTGTTCTGTGTTTTTGTATGTATCCGTTAGCACCGGATATTGGTGCTGAGTAAATATATTAAGCACTCATTCTTCTGTGTGTATCATTAACAATGACGATACAGCAACAAGTCTCGAGAGTCACTCAAACAAGAGGGTTGCTATTAAAAGTGTAATATGTTATGTCAATTGAATGAAAAGGTAGGTTTTTCTTATTGATTCCTTTTCTACGGCTAAAAAACTTTTGCATGTTATTTAAAACCAGAAAATATTTGTAGATTTAAAAGATTTCTTTTTTTGAGATAATACTGATTTAGCGATACATTTTAATAATTAACCCATAGCTGAGGGGAGAAGAGAAGGATTCATATCTTTCTCAAAGTTTATATGCGGTGCGTAACGAACCCAGTTACCCAATTAACAATTTCGAACCATTATCCATTACATGTAAGCTCATAGCACCTGTTATTCCCAAGCGGTTACCCATCTAGGTACTGGGCAGGATCGACGTTGCTTAACTTCGGTTATCGTAAGTTTCAACGTGATGTGGCCGTAAGCCATGAGAAAGGTAGTAGAAAGTGAAGATGATGAGAATGAAGATGATAGACCCCGACTGAACGTTGACGTGAAGAGTTTTTTTTTTTAGGAAATAATGTTTTATGAGCCTTACTGCTTGTTATAACAAGTTTCAGTGACATGTGCTGCAAATTATTTACTAAACTTAGCTTAGTTTTGGCACAAGGCAACAAGAATAGAGCACCTATCGAGATGGATTGTGTGTTTGACGGCATATCAAGTCCTTGTAGGTCATTTATTGCCGAAATTCAATTTTCTTGGGAGCCAGGAAGTAATAAAAATATGTTATGTTATTCTGCTTTCACAATTGAATACATGGTAGATAATACTCAGATTTTATGCATTTTACATGTTTGTGTTGACATAATTACTAGAGGCGGTGATATGTGTGTTTTATGTTGTAGTTTTGTTGAAGTTACATTTTGTGCTTTAAGAAATTATAGGTTATTATATAACTTAATGTCATGAAAGTTATTTTATGCTGGTTCTTTGATAGTATTTCAAACGGATTTGAACGAAATCACTATAAATTGGTAGTATGTGCGTATTGTAGGTAAATTTTTTATATAAAGTGTATTGATGGTATTTTAACTATTTAAAAATATATTTTATAATTTCATAGTGTTTTGTTTTTGTTTGGCTGAGATTTCACTATTTGCCAATAGTTGGAAGCCTGACAGGTAGCTATCACCTCAGGTCAGGGTGGACTTGAAAACAACAATAGCAATTAAGACATTAATTAGTTTCACGCTCCTCAAAAACACCAATCTCCCGATCAGAGGCCTTGCTACTGTATGTTATCGTCACATCATTCAGTAGTAATAGTCAACTAGATTAAATAGTTAATCTATGTTGAGGTGCTCAGGCCGGCAGGACAGTTTTGGGTTTTACAAAAAGCGATTGATTTGTTCTTAATTATTGCAATTTAATTTGAAGGCCGCAAAACAGATCGATCAAAAGCCATACGTTAACACATTGCAGGATAAATGCACTGGTACTAACCTTTTTCTACAAAGTAGGTATGGCAGTGTGGCGAAGGGGGATTGTCTAAGAACAGAAAGGAAGATGATTCTGTTTACCTTCAGGTAAAGGTCTCTGATTGGGTCTGAATGCTGTTGTAGTTAGTTTGATAAGAGGAGATTGCAAAAGGGCCGACATATCGATTGGATGGAGTAGACGGTTCGATCGACCTAAACTTTTCAACTTCATCCTATTTCCAAAGCAATAACCAGGAATTAAAGAAAAAAAAAGCCACACAGTTTCCATCAAGATAATTCGCTCTCTTTTTCAAAGTTTTTGTTCATCTACTAATTCTTCTCTGTCTCTTACTCTTTGAGATTGTTTACTTAATGACCTTTTTGTGGTTCCATAGCAACATTAAAAAAAGCTTCTCTTCCAAGCTTGCTCTTAAATGTTAAACTCGATTTTTGATTTAAACTATAATGGTGCAGTTTCGATTTTCATAAAAGTAAAGGATTTTTAGACTCACCACAATTTTAAGATATTTCTTTAGTTCAGCAGTTAACCATAAACCAATGAGGCGTGGTTAACGCTCCCTGCGCTGTAAGTGGATCTATTATTCTGCTCATTTTAGATGGGAGAAGTTGCTCAACATTGGGGATCTCAAACCTACTGCAGTACCTTCCTCATCGCATAAGAGGTTGGGTCGGTGCAATACCGATGCCATCTTGACAGGGTTGGGCAAAAATCCATTTTTTCCTTGGCCCATATACTTATGTATGTATATGGAGCTCCCCATATTAAAACGACCTTGTGTCACATCAAACCTTGTTTGGAAGGCTGGGTAAATAAATCTGGTTTATGAATAAGAACGGCCATTTTGGATCAAATTATTATTAACACGTTGACTTCTAGAGGTCAGTTACAAAATCTGACTTCAAGCGCTAACTTTTTAATAGCCAACTCAGGCAATAAAAAGATTTAATTGGTGTTTTAACATTGCATTCACACTGGCAGTATCACTGTGAATAAACTCGCTTTTGGAGCCGGAAGATGAGAATGTATCAGAAAGTGACTAGCAAGAGATAACTTGGGATCGGAACGAGATAACTCGTGGTTGGCAAAATAATAAAATCTAATAACGACAAGTTAATTTGTTGTTGGCAGTGAATGTGTTAAATTTTGAATATTTATTATAGAAAGAATTCTATTTCGGGTAATTAAACTTCGTCTGTTGCACGACAGAATAGTAATGACCGAAACAACGAAGGTAAAGACACTCGTTCGAATTCTTAATTGAAAAAAGACAGTACTTGAGGTAACAAGAAGAATTTGTATTTCGTTGGAGGACACGATAAAGCATCTCTCCAGAGAACTTCCGACGACATGTAAAATCAATGCTACACCGACCTGCTTCACTTCGTTGGGCTTAAGGTTGGTGTATGTGTGTGTGTGTGGGGGGGGGGCATCCTGCACAATACCCGGCGCGCGTATTTAAAAATACATTTCAGCTCCGATCTGCGTTTTTCATGTCGGCTGTTGAATGAAGATAAAAGCACGCATTTGTTGTAATTAATGCTATGAAACGGTTGGTTGAAGTGTGCAGCGACAGGTAAATTGTTGTAGTTGTCTAAGTCCCATTTGTTTATTTATTCCTAGTATCGTTGAAAAAAGCCACAGGCGTGTTTGACACTTCCGACATTAAAATTTTATCCTCGTGCTTTAGTTTAATCATAAGGCTAATTCCTATTATAAATGCGAATGTCAGTATGTCACTGTGTCTCTGTGTCACATTTTTCAATTAAAGGGACATAACTCTCTAACTTTCAATAGCTCATGTTACAGAAATTTTGGACTCAAGAGTTTTCATTATTGCGATTGTTTTCGGCGATTTTTATGTGATTATTGCCACAAAGTTTTTGTACGATAAAAAGTTTTATAATTTGGAATAAACTTGGGAATAATCGAAATTAATTGCGAAAACAAGCGAAATTCACACATGAAATAAAAATAATTTTGTGTGCAATGTAATGACCTACGCACATCAAATTGACTTTAAATTAATTGGCGACAGAAGAATTATCGTTGAACTTTTAAAAGGTAAGCTTAAAATATATCATTTAGTATCTGTCTATATTTCTGAGATGAGGTATTATGTACACTAATTACATTATTCGGACTATTGTCCTCATCTTTGTCGCCATATTTATTACAACGTTTCGGCCGTTGTACGCTCCGGCCTTCTTCAGGTGGTTGGAATGTCGAACTGAACCCTTTATTTCACTGACTGGGGTAGATTGTTCTAGTTCCACGTGCCATGTTCAACCATTCCAACCACCTGAAGAAGGCCGGAGCGTACAACGGCCGAAACGTTGTGATAAATATGGCTACAAAGATGTGGACAATAGTCCGAATAATGTAAATAGTATATATCATTTAGTGTCGATATGTGCCTATTTTTCTCTCCCTCCCGCTACTTATCCGAGAATCACTTGAATGGTAGGAAGAACGTGTAGCGTCAGTCCTTTCATATAAAAGTGAACTCCTTACATAGCCCAAACGTCTGCGAAACCTGACTCATCAGTTAAGTCTAGTATAGATTTTCTGTTAGATCGATAAACAGAGGAAAAGCAACATTACAGTCATTATATATTCTGAGGTTGCTTAAATAAATAAACATGTGCAGCTAACTCTCTACCTACTTACATTCATACACACCCCATTACCCATATATAAATGTAAGAATTATGTGTGTGAGTGTGTAACTTCCTCCGAGCCTTGGCTGCGGTCTAATAGTCAATGAAGAAAGAGGCCGACAAAGTCAGCTCATTAGAACATCTATCGCCAAGTGCAAGGCGCGTTGGGTTGGCCACGTGCCGACACCAGCCAACTTTCTCTGCAACACTCTCCCATAAACTATTTCACGCTGTTGGCGCCAAGTTACTTGCTAACTTATGATGTTTCACTTTCACTGGGCGCTCCGTCCCATTCATCAAGTTGCTGGTCTCTGGATGCTCTCATAATGGACAGATGGTGTCCACAGAATCTGCAGCCATTTCGAATGTTAAGAAAAAGAAAGCAGAAAAAAAACAAACACAAAAATAAACCAAAAACAACAACAAAGAAAATACATGAAAATTTAAAAAAAAAAAAAAAAAATTAATATATGTACATTGAGGTTCGGCACGCATTCATTTAATGCTTTTTCAAGCAAAGAGAAAGGAAAATAATGTTATGGATAGAAAGAGAAAGGAAAATAATGTTATGGATAGAAACAAAGCAGCATTTTGTTACTATTTCAGATTTTACAAGAGAATGAATTTACCGAGCTCACGACTACTAAGAAAAAGATTGTATAGCACTCTTCCTTTCATTTGAAAGTAAATTTTAAATTCTGACATTACCAAGGTTTAAGCAATGAATATATATGCGAAATAAGTATATTGTCTCAGCAACTAAGAAGGTCTATAAATAGATTGAGATGAAGAGATTGGAATAGAAAGGTCGGCTGTAAAATGGACCTCAGCAAAAATAATGATTATTGAAAATTACAAAAATGCATGGAGAAAAGAGAAGTAAAAAGCCAATATTAAGGGAAAGAGAGAGAGAGAGATAGAGGGAGAGAGAGAGGGAGAGAGGGAGAGAGAGAGAGGGAGAGAGAGAGACAGGGAGAGAGAGAGAGGGAGAGAGAGAGAGGGAGAGGGAGAGAGAGAGAGACAGGGGGAGAGAGAGACAGAGAATTACAGAAAGAAAAATGGATGTAAGGAAGAAAGAATGAAGGAATAAAAGAGAGGAAATAAGAATCACCTAAACAAAGAAAGAATAAAAAAAGTAGAGAAATAGAACGTTACAGAGAGAAAGAAAGGATAAAAGAAGGAGAGAAAGAAAGAAAGGAAAAAAACATTACAAGGATAGAATGATAGGTTCGCCTATCGCCCGGTTCACACTCCACCGCGGTCTTTTGAACAGAAATAGATGTTAATCCATTGCTACCTGTTTAGAACTGGGCATACGGTTTCTTCTAAATTATCATTCTCTTTCCATTCCAGCAACCCCTTGCATCTTAGTGACATTAGCGTCTTACTTGGGGTGAATTGATGAAAAAAATCATGTAAATATAAAAAATTGCCATAAGACTGAATGATAGAGTGAAAGAAGGACATAGAGAAAGAATTTCAGAAGGATGCCAGATGGACACAAAGAAAGAAGATGGATTACAGTTAGAAAGAAATTTAGTAAGAATGAAAAAAATTACAAAAATAAAGAATTAAACATAGAAAGAATTATAGAAGGGAATAAAAATTATAAGAACAATAATTGCAGTAAAAAGATAAAGAAAGATTAAAATAGAAACGATTCAAAGTAGAAATGAAGAATTGAAGAGAGAAAGGTTTAAAGAAAAGAAAGAAAGAAAGCATGAAAGAACAGAAAGAAAAATACAGAGGAAAACGTAAAATGCTCAGAAGAAGGAAAGGATTATAGAAGGAAAAAATAAGGAAATAAGAAAGAATTAGAGAATAAAAGAATTAGAGAATAAAAGAATTAAAGAATAAAAGAATTAGAGAATAAAAGAATTAAAGAATAAAAGAATTAGAGAATAAAAGAATTAAAGAATAAAAGAATTAGAGAATAAAAGAATTAAAGAATAAGAGAATTAGAGAATAAAAGAAAGAATAAAAGAATTAGAAAATAAAAGAATTACAGAATAAAAGAATAAAAGAATTAGAATAAAAGAATTAGAGAATAAAAGAATTACAGAATAAAAGAATTAGAGAATAAAAGAATTAGAGAATAAAAGAATTAAAGAATAAGAATTAGAGAATAAAAGAATTAGAGAATAAAAGAATTAGAGAATAAAAGAATTAAAGAATAAAAGAATTAGAATAAAAGAATTACAGAATAAAAGAATTAGAGAATAAAAGAATTAAAGAATAAAAGAATTAGAATAAAAGAATTACAGAATAAAAGAATTACAGAATAAAAGAATTAGAGAATAAAAGAATTAGAGAATAAAAGAATTAAAGAATTTAAAGAATTAAAGAATAAAAGAATTAGAGAATAAAAGAATTACAGAATAAAAGAATTAGAGAATAAAAGAATTGAAGAATAAAAGAAATGCAGAGTGAAAGAAAAATACATAAGGGGAGAATTATATAGAGAAAGAAAACATTACAGAAAGTATGAATCATGTAAAAATAGAAAGGATTACCGAACAAAAAAAAAAAAAAAAAAAAGAATTGCAATAAGAATTACTGAAACAAAGAATTACAGAAAGAATGAAAGAGTTAAAGAAAGAAAAATTACACAGATAAAATATTATAGAAAGAAAGGAGTACAGAAAGGAAGAAGAAATTTTTGTAAGAAAAAAACGAAATGAATTTTATTACTGCTTAGAGAGAAAAAAGAGTAAAAATAATGGAAGAAATAAAGAAATACAAGGAGAAAAATAATGATAAATAAATAAACGTAGAATTATAATAATCACCGAAAAAGGAAAAACAAAAAGAATTACCAAAAAATGAAAGTGGAATGACAGGAAGAAAGAAGTAGAGTAAGAAAGGCACATAGAAAGAATGAAAGAAATAATTGCAGAAAGAATTACAGAAAGAAAGAATTGCTATGAAAAAGAAATTACAGAAGAAAGACTTATATAACGAAAGAATTACAGGAAGAAGAAAGCGAGAAAGAAAAGTGAATACAAGGTGAGATGGGTATATATTATACCATAATACCTATTATATTGTAATAGACTCTCTCACAGATAATAAGTAGTAGTAGCAGTCGCCAGTGGGATCAGTGGTGTTGAGCGAGTCAGTCGATATTGGACATTGAAGTATCAACCATCACAACTAGATTGCTGCGTCATTAACTCTTATTTCAAGTTCCTAACGTTTTGTACGTCGAACCTAATTTAGCCTCCACTGTGAAAACTACTCTACAACAGCATATTGTCGCCATTTTATATTTTTAATTTCGTGCATGTGCTTTTTTGATGTTGTTGACTGCACAGGATACGAGAAAAAAGAGAACCATGATGCAATTCACTCCCACAGAAATTTGGAAAAGGCATGCTGTACTGCTAAGCATTCGCACCGGAAGTTTCAATACGAACGTTTTAGAGTGTGTTGGTGCCAATCATAGGACAGTGCAGAGGATTTGGAAAGAGTTGAATGAGTCTAATGGTGATTACGAAGGTATTTAGATTGATCACTAGTAATGGTTGATTTATACTTTCATTCATCTCGTCACAGGGCCTCAGAGTTATTACGGAGGCCTATATAGAATGTCTTGAGGAGGTAGTGCTTCCTTGAGTCAAGAGGTTGGCTGCTTGAACGCCATATATTTGGCAAAAGGACTCTGCACTATGGCTGTCAAACAATTTCTACGACCATATCAACTCTTACATTATGGTCACCTAACTCCCCTGATGGCAACTCCCCTGATTATTATGTGTGGGGCACAGTTGAGCGAGAGACCAGCAAAACTCCTTGTAATACCAAAGATGAACAGAAGGCAAGGATTATGGCAGCATTCACCAACTTAAACAAGGAGACTGTCAAGAAGAGTTGCTGGAGATTACGAAGTCTGGAGGCTGTGTTTGAAGCCAATGGCAATTTTATTGAATAAATTTACTCTTTCGCATTTCAAGATATTTTTGTGTAATTTTGGTAAATATATACGTGGCATAATTTAGACGGCAATTTATCCATCGCATACTGTGGAATGAAATCCAGATTGAATTACAGAAGGAAACAACGTGATTCGAAATTTACAGACAGAAGGAAAATTGCAAAGAGAAAGAAAGAAAGAAAGAAAGAAAGGATTGATTGAGTCACAAATCACAAAAAAGAAACAAAGTAAGACTTATAAAATATATGAAAGAAATACAGAAGAAAAGAATTGCAAAAGGAAAAAACACGGAAGAGAAAAAGGTTAAAGTAAGAAAGTAATTACGAATTAAAGTAAGAATTCATCTGAGAGGAAGAGAAAGAATTGCAGAAAGAATAGAAAGAAAGAATTGCAGAAAGTAGAGCAAGAGAAAGAATTGCAGAAAGGAGAGCAAGAGAAAGAATTGCAGAAAGGAGAGCAAGAGAAAGAATTACAGGAAGAAGAGCAAGAGAAAGAATTGCAGAAAGGAGAGCAAGAGAAAGAATTGCAGAAAGAATAGAAAGAAAGAATTGCAGAAAGGAGAGCAAGAGAAAGAATTGCAGAAAGGAGAGCAAGAGAAAGAATTGCAGAAAGGAGAGCAAGAGAAAGAATTACAGGAAGAAGAGCAAGAGAAAGAATTGCAGAAAGGAGAGCAAGAGAAAGAATTGCAGAAAGAATAGAAAGAAAGAATTGCAGAAAGTAGAGCAAGAGAAAGAATTGCAGAAAGAATAGAAAGAAAGAATTGCAGAAAGTAGAGCAAGAGAAAGAATTGCAGAAAGACGAGCAAGAGAAAGAATTGCAGAAAGTAGAGCAAGAGAAAGAATTGCAGAAAGAATAGAAAGAAAGAATTGCAGAAAGTAGAGCAAGAGAAAGAATTGCAGAAAGGAGAGCAAGAGAAAGAATTACAGGAAGAAGAGCAAGAGAAAGAATTGCAGAAAGACGAGCAAGAGAAAGAATTGCAGAAAGAAGAGCAAGAGAAAGAATTGCAAAAAGAAGAGCAAGAGAAAGAATTGCAGAAAGGGGAGTAAGAGAAAGAATTGAAGAAAGGAGAGCAAGAGAAAGAATTGCAAAAAGAAGAGCAAGAGAAAGAATTACAAGAGGAAGAGCAAGAGAAAGAATTGCAGAAAGAAGAGCAAGAGAAAAAATTGCAGAAAGAAGAGCAAGAGAAAGAATTGCAGAAAGGGGAGTAAGAGAAAGAATTGAAGAAAGGAGAGCAAGAGAAAGAATTGCAGAAAGGAGAGCAAGAGAAAGAATTACAGGAAGAAGAGCAAGAGAAAGAATTGCAGAAAGACGAGCAAGAGAAAGAATTACAGAAAAGAGAGCAAGAGAAAGAATTGCAAAAAGAAGAGCAAGAGAAAGAATTGCAGAAAGACGAGCAAGAGAAAGAATTGCAAAAAGAAGAGCAAGAGAAAGAATTGCAGAAAGGGGAGTAAGAGAAAGAATTGAAGAAAGGAGAGCAAGAGAAAGAATTGCAAAAAGAAGAGCAAGAGAAAGAATTGCAGAAAGACGAGCAAGAGAAAGAATTGCAAAAAGAAGAGCAAGAGAAAGAATTGCAGAAAGACGAGCAAGAGAAAGAATTGCAGAAAGACGAGCAAGAGAAAGAATTGCAAAAAGAAGAGCAAGAGAAAGAATTGCAGAAAGGAGAGCAAGAGAAAGAATTGCAGAAAGGAGAGCAAGAGAAAGAATTACAGAAAAGAGAGCAAGAGAAAGAATTGCAGAAAGACGAGCAAGAGAAAGAATTGCAGAAAGAAGAGCAAGAGAAAGAATTGCAAAAAGAAGAGCAAGAGAAAGAATTACAAGAAGAAGAGCAAGAGAAAGAATTGCAGAAAGGAGAGCAAGAGAAAGAATTACAGGAAGAAGAGCAAGAGAAAGAATTGCAGAAAGACGAGCAAGAGAAAGAATTGCAGAAAGAAGAGCAAGAGAAAGAATTGCAAAAAGAAGAGCAAGAGAAAGAATTGCAGAAAGGGGAGTAAGAGAAAGAATTGAAGAAAGGAGAGCAAGAGAAAGAATTGCAAAAAAGAAGAGCAAGAGAAAGAATTACAAGAGGAAGAGCAAGAGAAAGAATTGCAGAAAGAAGAGCAAGAGAAAAATTGCAGAAAGAAGAGCAAGAGAAAGAATTGCAGAAAGGGAGTAAGAGAAAGAATTGAAGAAAGGAGAGCAAGAGAAAGAATTGCAAAAAGAAGAGCAAGAGAAAGAATTACAAGAGGAAGAGCAAGAGAAAGAATTGCAGAAAGAAGAGCAAGAGAAAAAATTGCAGAAAGAAGAGCAGAGAGAAAGACTTGCAGAAAGAAGAGCAAGAGAAAGAATTGCAAAAAGGAGAGTAAGAGAAAGAATTGCAGAAAGAAGAGCAAGAGAAAGAATTGCAGAAAGAAGAGCAAGAGAAAGAATTGCAAAAAGAAGAGCAAGAGAAAGAATTGCAGAAAGAAGAGCAAGAGAAAGAATTACAAGAAGAAGAGCAAGAGAAAAAATTGCAGAAAGACGAGCAAGAGAAAAAATTGCAGAAAGAAGAGCAAGAGAAAGAATTGCAGAAAGGAGAGTAAGAGAAAGAATTGCAGAAAGAAGAGCAAGAGAAACAATTGCAGGAAGAAGAGCAAGAGAAAGAATTGCAGAAAGACGAGCAAGAGAAAGAATTGCAGAAAGAAGAGCAAGAGAAAGAATTGCAAAAAGAAGAGCAAGAGAAAGAATTACAAGAAGAAGAGCAAGAGAAAGAATTGCAGAAAGAAGAGCAAGAGAAAGAATTGCAGAAAGAAGAGCAAGAGAAAGAATTGCAGAAAGAAGAGCAAGAGAAAGAATTGCAAAAAGACGAGCAAGGGAAAGAATTGCAGAAAGGAGAGCATGAGAAAGAATTACAGGAAGAAGAGCAAGAGAAAGAATTACAGGAAGAAGAGCAAGAGAAAGAATTGCAGAAAGACGAGCAAGAGAAAGAATTGCAGAAAGAAGAGCAAGAGAAAGAATTGCAGAAAGGAGAGCAAGAGAAAAAATTGCAGAAAGAAGAGCAATTTATAGACAGAAAAAAATAATTACTGGTATTAAGTATTATAGAGAGAAAGAAAGAATTATAGGAAGAAAAGAAGGAAAGAATAACTGAAAGAAAGATTTCCAAGTAAATTCAGAAAATTTGAAAGAAATAATTTGCTGAAAAAAGAAACGACGAAATACATAAGGAGTTTTACAGAAAGAAAGCGAAAAGAACGAAAACTATCACGTGACCATTCGAGAGCAAATTCTTTGGCTGCTCTTCTCACGATTGGAAAAGATGGAATGAAATCAAGAAATCAATACTAATCACTCTATTTACTTGCTTGCCCTGAAAAATATGTCCTTTGTTGATCATGTGATTAGCGGTCAGGTGTGATTCTTTACTCTCATGTTAATTCAGTGAATGCGAGGCAAAAATCCTTTGATCACGCAAACCATGATCACATTGACGAAAATATTAATATTGTTTAGGCACTGCACAAGAAGGCAACAGTTATCCACACAAACACACACACACACACTGTATATATATATATATATATATATATATATATATATATATATATATATAAAGGTTCAAACACTAATATTCCATGGTTATAATTTATTACATTGAAATCGTAATCACGATTCAATTCATTAGATCTACAAATTTGTAGGTCTGATGAATTGGATCGTGATTACGATTCCAATGTAATAAATTATAATCATGGAATATTAGTGTTTGAGCCTTTATATTATATTCTTACTTTGTCCTAGACATTGAGTTTTACCTGGATTCTATCCTCTTGGGAATTTATATATATATATAAATGACGATGACATGATTTTTCCCGGGCGCACACATATCACATATCAGGTGAGGCTGAGTATTCAGTTGGATATGAACCGGACAGCCCAAATGCCACTCTATAGGTGAATCTTGTACCTGATTTCTCT